GCATCTGTGTCTACCTTCTGGCACAAAGACTTGGATAAGGGAAAGCAATGGAAGGGCCGCACTATCTCTGGGCAAGTGAAGACTAAGGATAGCCTTGTCCTAACTCTAGACGAGGGTAGTGTGGATGAGATCCCCTACGACCAGATTGAGTGGGGGTTAGAGGAGGATGACAGCGGTGTGGGCCACGGGAGAACTTACGCTGCTGTCGCGGCTGGAGGGAGGCCGCAAGGAGGAGGATGAGGCCAAGGCCAAGGGGGCCGGGAGGGAGCCGTTTCCAGGGCGATCAGGGGGTTGGCGGTAGAGTAGGAAACCGCCAAGCGGGAGGCAGAGGTCAAGGTCCCCCGCAAAACCGTCCTAGGAATAGGTCTCCCTATAGGGTAGGAGGATGGCACCCAGGGCTACCTCAGGGTAGGCCTTGGGAAACTTTGGGTCTGGACCAGGCTTTATGGCAACAACGATTGGACCGGGGCCAGTGCATTTTCTGCGGTGACCCGGGCCATATCATCAAATACTGTCCTAAGTATCGCGAGACCCGAACGGCTGCCCAAGGGCCAAAAGGCAGCCGCCGGTAGGGGTAGCAATTGCCCCTACCACTAGGCCATGTGGGGAATATAGCGCTAGCCGACAGGAGTCTCCCACACCACATGTGCCTATGGCAGAGGTTGCAAGCCGGTGTCTAGATAGCTGCCCAGAGACTGCTTGTGTTAGAGTCTCTCTAGACACCTCCCTCACAGGCGTGGCCGAAGAGTTGAAGGAGAGGAGGCCCGCCTGGGCCAAGATGAAGAAGGAGAATAAAGGGCAGCTGATTTTATTAGATGCAGAGATTTTTAGAAGTAGAGTAGGGGCCCTAGTAGACTCAGGGGCAACCCGCAGCTATATTAGTAAGAAAACGCTGCAGAAGTTGAGGCTGGGACTTAAAGTCCAGAAACTGACAGATCCCATAGTTAGTATCCTCGCGGACAATCGTACCATGGTTGTAGAGGGTTACGTAGAGGGAGTCCAGGCGTATTTCCGCCTAGAAAAAGATAAGAAGGTGGAGAAGGTCCTCCACTCCCTGACTCTCCTCGTAGAGGACAGCCTCCCGTTTGATATTGTGCTGGGAATGGATTGGGGAGAGGCAGTTGGGGCCACGCTCCATTTGAAGGAGCACGAGTGTAGGCTCCCTAGTGTTGCAGGCGAGGCTAAGACTGCCCGCATGTTCCATGTGTCAGGAGTAGAGAATTCATTGGCACATTGCTGCCTCAGTGCTCCTGCGTTCGCCAGATTAGTGAAGAAGGAGCACTTAGAGGAACAGGTCTTTGTTGCCTATGTTAGGCCAGTCACTGAGCCTAAGGAAGAGAAGCCCGTAGACCCTGCTATTGCCAAATTGCTGGAAGAGTTTAAGGATTTGACTGAGCCGCCGACTGGCACGGTGCCGCGGGCCATCCAGCACTGTATTGAGATAGAGCCTGGCAGTAGAACTCCTAAGGGTGCTGTATATAGGATGTCCCCGCGGGAGTTAGAGGAGCTGCGGAAGCAGTTGGACGAGCTCCTTGAAAAGGGTTGGATTAGGCCCAGCTCATCTCCTTTTGGAGCCCCTGTTCTCTTTGTCCCTAAGAAAGAGGGAGAGTTGAGGATGCGTATAGACTATAGGGGTCTGAATGCCATTACAGTGAAGAATGCTGAGCCACTGCCTAGGATAGAYGATCTCTTAGATCGAGTGCAGGGGGCGAAGTATTTCTCCAAGGTAGATTTGAAGTCCGGATATCATCAGATAGAGGTGCATCCTGATGATCAGTACAAGACAGCCTTCCGGACTAGATATGGGCACTACGAGTTTATAGTGATGCCCTTTGGACTAACCAATGCGCCAACTACGTAGGCCGTGGTTAGACAAATTTGTTGTAGTTTATCTAGATGACATTCTAGTGTTTAGCAGGACCCTCGAAGAGCATCAGGTCATCTCAGGCAGGTCTTGGAGAAGCTGAGGGAAGCTAACTTCAAGATCAATGCAAAGAAGTGCGATTGGGCAAAGACCCAAGTTCTGTACCTAGGCCACGTCTTAGACGGAGACGGCGTTAAGCCAGAGGATAGCAAGATCGCAGCGATTAGAGATTGGCCCACACCACGTATGCTGACAGAGTTGCGCTCGTTCCTGGGCCTAGCTAATTACTATAGGAAGTTCGTGAGGAACTTCTCCACCATCGCTGCGCCCCTCCGCAGATTGCTGAGAAAGGAGACCATCTGGAAGTGGGATAAGGACTGCACGTCTGCCATGAAGAAGTTAAAGCAAGCATTGATAGAGTATCCAGTCCTTAAAGTCGCTGACCCATCCTTGCCCTTTGTCGTCACGACTGATGCGAGTCAATACGGCATAGGCGGAGTGTTGCAGCAAGACGATGGCAATGGGTATAGACCCGTAGAGTTCATGTCCGCCATGATGCCTTCAGAGAAGGTCGCGACATCGACCTATGAGAGGGAACTCTACGCTCGTAGGCAAGCCTTAGACCACTGGAAGCACTACTTGCTTGGGAGGCATTTCAAAGTCTATTCTGACCATGAAACGTTACGATGGTTAAAGACGCAGGCCAAGATGACACCTAAGCTTACTAGGTGGGCCGCAGAGATAGATTCGTACGACTTCGAGCTCAAGCCTGTCAAAGGGAAGTACAACGTAGTCGCAGATGCTCTGAGTAGGAGGGCAGATTACTTTGGGGCAATAGTACACTATCTTGATATCGAGAAGGACCTGCAACAGAAGGTTAGAGAGGCCTATGTGCAGAACCCTATCTATAGTGAGCTCCTTAAGAAGGTCAAGGAGGCTCCAGAGACTGATCCGAACTACCGCACTACTGAAGGGCTGCTCTTTGAGAAGACTAATGTATTTGACCGCCTGTGCATTCCCAATAGTGAAGAGGTTCGTAGTCTGATTTTGGGCGAATGCCATGACACAGAGGGCCATTTTGGTTGGCAAAAGACCTTAGCCAATCTGATGCGCGCGTATACCTGGCCAGGGATGAAGAATGACTGCGTAGAGTATGTTCGCAGTTGTAAGGTCTGCCAACGTAACAAGGGTTCTACGCGCGCCCCGTTAGGTCTTCTCTGACCCTTACCCATTCCGGACCAACCAGGAGACTCAGTGTCCATCGACTTCATGGACACTCAGGTCAAGAGCAGGCATGGCAAGAGCCAAGTCATGGTCATAGTTGACCGATTTAGTAAGTACGCAGTCTTTGTTCCTTTGTCGTCAGAGGCACGTACTGATTTAGTCATTCAGAGGTTTTTTGACTGTTGGGTTAGTGAGAATGGAATCCCGCTGTCAATAGTTAGCGATAGAGATAGTCGCTTTACCAGCCAGAACTGGCAAAAACTCATGGGAGTGTATGGATCTAAGTTGTTGATGTCGTCTGGCCGTCATCCAGAGACTAACGGTCAGACAGAGCAAATGAACAAGATCCTACAGCAAGTTCTGCGCATGTACATTAGGCCAGATCAGATTAATAACTGGGATGAGATGTTACCTAAGGTAGCTAGTGCATATAATAACAGCGTGCATCTGTCCACCTGCCACACTCCCAACGAACTGCACAAGTCCTTTAGGCCCCGTAGACCGTTTGAAGGACTTAGCCGGGATCAGATTCACAGATTGCCGCCCGGGACCAGGGAGTTTGCTGTGCAACACGAAAAAGAACTAGCTAMTGTAGTAGAGAACCTCAGAAAGGCCCAGCACAGGATGATAGAACAAGCCAATAAGCATCRTCGCCCCTCACAGTTCCAAGTAGGCGACTTAGTCTGGGTCAGTTCTAAAGAGTTTGCACCTGAGGAGAACATCTCGCAGAAGTTACTGCCCACCTATAGAGGACCGTGGCCAGTCTTAGAAGTCAAGGGCGGCGAAGATGGACCGTCCTATACCATAGAACTCCCAGCACATCTCCACACGTATCCAGTTTTCCATGCATCAAAGTTGTTACCGTGTTAAACAAGTGATCAGTTTCCATCCCATAGGTCCATGATCCCACCGGATGTGGATGGAAGATACGACATTGATGGGATAGTGGCTGAAGATGTCTTCAGGACTGGAGGTAGGGGTCGTCCACAGAAACAGTACAAGGTCCATTTTAGTTATCAAGAACCCGAAGACGACCGCTGGTTTACAAGATCTGAACTTCTAGAGACAGCTCCCGATAGAGTCCGAGCCTACGAGAGAAAACAGAAAGGTAAAGATCCTGCCTTGGACTGAATTTTCTCGGAGGACCTCGAATTTAGGCCGGCGGGAGTGAAACGGTATTCACCAGTTCGCAGTAGCGAATGCAGATCCCAGGGCTCGATCCCTAGTTCCCCATCTTACCTGTGTACAGTATTGATGTCAACCCGTAGATTTGAACCTGCGACCTGTCGAAACGCCAGAGGTAGGTGGATTGTCGTAGGTCACAGCTTAGAAGGGAATCAAACTGTGGACTTGTAGGGTAGGAGTCTAGACAGTTCCGAAGTCGTAGTTGTAGGTTGTCTGAAAGGTCAAGGTCGTAGCTGCTACTTACCTGAAGGGGCAAAGTCGTAGCTGCTACAGCACCGAAAGGCCAAGTCAGAGGTTTCTAGAAGCGG